GCGCAACATTGGTATCATAAATGTTGGCTTAATCTGCCAAGGGTGGAGAGGAGGGAAGTGGATCGTAACCCTTGGCTAGCAAAGATGCTCCAATAAGGGATCATCAGACAATGTCAGGAGTATTTACTTATTTGTAGATTTTGTCTTGCTGATAATTTTTGGAAAATGACGCTATCAGCGGCATGTTTCCGATACCATTGACCAGAACTAACGGAAGTTGATTATGCCTCCGCCTACCGCACTCGGTTTCATATTTACTATTTTACATACTAACTGGAATCTGCTTGTATTACGCTACACTCGAACAAAGTCTTTGTTAAATAGCCTGGCATCCCGGCCCAATCTAGCTGTGCGTCGCAAGGGCCAGGTGGGGAACAAATACCACGTGATCGATTCAGTGCCAGTTGACTCTGAATCTAAAGTGAGGCTGAATAAATATTTGCATAAATTTTGATGTTTGATGTAAACCAGCGATTTCAAATCAATGATTAAGAAACATTGCTTCTGATTCAATAAATTTTGCTCTCAGATTGACGAGTCCCCATTGTCAGTAATATAATAAAATAAATATATACTGATTAAACAGTATAAATAAACACTAGTATGCGTAATCAAAAGAAACTTTGAAAAATGTTGCATATTTAATATATATTTTATCAGGAAGGATTATATATGGGGTAAGAGTCAACGAAACAACTCTTTATAATAAAAAAAATCAAACTTAATAAATATTGTAATGGTCTTTTTATAAAACAATTTAAAACAAATTACTTAATTAGGTCGTAAAAGTGAAATCCAATTCACACCTTGGTCATGTGAAATCTTAAACTTTTAACTTTCTCACCAGTTGATTACTGATAAGAATTAACCCTTTTCTGCTTACTAATTATCATCATACTAATAATTAGATATGATAACACTGTACATCAATTCATAAAGAAAAATAAATACAGTCTAATTTTTACTAATTGATGTTAAACAAAAATTGATTGGATACAGATGTAAAACAAACATTGCGCGACAAAATTAGTATTAACCTATCATTGACAGGCAGGACATTGATACACGCCTGGCTATACTGACAAGATTAGCCAGGACCCCAGGCTATTTGTTAAAGTGTTGTAGTCGGACGGGAACCAGTTTACATACGTTATTTTATTTACCAAAAAGATATCTTGACCTGTCCATATGTTTTTTGTTATTAAATGGTATTTGGAGCCATCCCTTTGTTATATTTTTCATATTTATTCGAGCTTTCACTTTTATGCACATGTCTTACAATCGTAAACAATCGGTATGTATACATGATAAATAGATCCGTTTTGTTATGGTGTTGGACTTTTTACCCTCCAATGATCAGCAATCGCTAGACAAAATAGTTCTCCTAAATAATGTCAGCCTTTCATGCCATTTCAACTTTACAATCATTAAAAAAGTAATAATCGGAATCATTTTGATATCCATTGGATAGAAACTGGTCTTTATCGAGATTTACGAAGATTTTAATAATCGGAAATTAGTAATACGGTTATACCCACGCGGTGCGTATGAATCTTTGTTCACAAAGTTATAGCAGCAGAGTCTGTAACTGTATCATTATTAATTAACTCCACTGTTATTGTACTTAAAATGATGAAAACTGCATATGCAATATAAGATGTCAACTCGGCCAATACAGATTTTTTTTCCGTATTGGCCGAGTTCTGATCCGGCCAAAACAGGATTTCGGAACGTCTCTAGTTTTTAGATCGTAAGTCACGATAAACTCAAACTGAAAGTAAACAGTTGTTTGTACGACGCAGTTTTTATTTACTCACCATAAACAAGCTGAAACGTTCAGTATGGCATATATTTTAGGTTAAAGACGGTCCCATTCATTTGAAAAGCATTTTGAAAGTAGACGATGGAATTATTTCAGGTTTAGGGAACGAGTAAATTATCACAAAGTTCATTTCTTGACGACCTCATAATTTCATCATGTCGATTTTTACTGTTCACTTTCGCTTCTCATGTTTTGTAAACGGTCTTTTATTTTTAAACCCGAACCAGGAATATGCATACTGTAATTGCGCAAATCTTCGTTCTTTGGTCAATTGGCTTATGGATAGTTGTATCAATTTCAACTCTTACATTATTTTTTTTTTTAAATATATTTGCATTACACATGCAATGGCAGTACCTTTCCAATTACTATTTATGTGTTGTGTCTAGATTAAAGTTGTAACACTTTATAGTGACTGGAAAGGGTAGAAAAATTCATCAGATGAGAAAAGGCTGAAGATGCATGGAAACGGCACCAAATCATTAGATATTGCATCTTATGAAAAGAAACTGAGATTTGGATAGTTCCACTTCAAGGTAAAAATGTTTATCTCTTGTGAAATGAAATAAAAAAATATTGTAACACTGTAGTTAATTAATAAAGATACTATTACATGTATTTCTGTATTGGCCTTATTGTTGGTCCTCGGCCAGCAGTATTGGCCTTCGGCTTCGCCTCAGACCAATACACCAAGACATGGACCAATAACAAGGACAATACAGAAATACTTACGCAATAATATTATAGAATGACAGTATGGTTCAATAGCGGGAATCAGCCCCTCAACTACTTTTTACATAAATATTAACTTCTGGCTTCAACTCCTTGTTCGTCTTGTCTGGAGATCTTGTTGTAGTTCCAGTTAGGCAAGCATTTTAGAGACGTATCCCGTCCATCCTCTCTTGACTTGTAATTTCTGGTGATAGATTTTGCCGCTTGACGTTGTATCTTTTCAAGCTTGTTTTTTTTTTTGTTACCGTGTAGGGGTCCCATACTATGGCTCCATATTAAATTGTAAGATCCATTCCTAAAGGTCTAGATCATTGTTCTAATCTGACACAAATTTCAATAACTGGAATGCTACCCGAGTTGAATATATGGTGACCTACTAGAACAGCATTATCACTATTGGAATTGTGTTTAATACCATGATTGTTCAATGTCATTAACTTAAATGGAGACAGACATTTGACCTGAAAGGTGGTGTGGGAGTGCAAAATCAAAAACTAACTGACTATGATATATGGTTAAAGAATGAATATCAATTACATGGGTCAACATGGTCAAGGGCAGAGTTGTTATGAAATAATAATATGGCAGAGAAGTGGTTTCAAGTTTCATATAAAGCGACCTGACTGACATGAAATAAAAAATCAAAGGAGTATCCCTATTTGTCTAATCTTCAAGGTGAAATAAAACTAGTAAAACGATATTATACTATTGTCTAAATCTACAGAAATATAATTTGCTTCAAGTAACAGAAATAACTAGGTCACTAGTAACTTATTTAATGAGTATGTGGGGTATAAGAGCTTGATAACAACAGGCTCTTCATAATCATTTGGTTTGAAAAGGATACTAGTAGTCTATATTCTTGATTTAGAAAAATGTAATTGCAAGACAAAAATCACATTACTTAGAATACTTTAGATCATTCAGGTAGTCTTTATTTATATGTACAAAAGAACAGCCAGTAGTCATTGGATATTGTAGATCATTCAAATAATCTTGACCTATTTATTAGTACAAAAGAACAGCCAGTAGTCATTGGATATTGTAGATCATTGTGGTAGTCTTGACCTATTTATTTATAGAAAAAAACAGCCAGTAGTCATTGGATACTGTAGATCATTCAGGTAGTCTTGACCTATACATTTGTACTAAAAAAACAGCCAGTTGTCATCCTCACATAACACACACATATATATACGAATATCAATTATATGCTTATGAGACATGTTGGAATGTTAAACTAATTACGGTATATATGTGAAAATCAAGACTTGCATAAAAAATATCACAATATTAGAGACAGTGGCGTCATTTTTCCTCAAAGCTTTCAGCTCTTTGATTACTTGTTTAAGTCTATCCAACTAATACAGTTTTACAGATATAAGCGAAAATGCTAAAATTGCTAAAATTGTCATTAAAGGGCAATAACTCCAATAAGAAGTCGTCAGGTGATTTTGACCATGGGACTTATTTGTAGATTTGTCTTGCTGATCATTTTTAGTATAAAAAGTTTCCCTCTATCTATTAAAGCTTTTCAGATACTAGGCAAAAATGAAAATAAAATAAACACAGAGATATGTCTCACCTTTTTGTTATTTTGATTGTAAAATGCAAATGTTGAAATTCAAATAGAATTACTTTAACATGTAAGTTATGCAAAATATTCAAAGACTTAAATTCAATGAACCATGACTGAAGATACAGAGCCAAACAATCTTCATGGAAATAAGATGTGCCAATGCTAATGCAACTGCATACCAAATATCATTGACCTACCACTAGCAGTTCCCCATAAACTGACCTAATCACAAAAATAATACATGTAAACAAAGCAAAAGTTTCAAAGTCAATAGACCATGATTGAGGGGGCAGGGCCAAATAATCTCCATGGAAATGAAATGTGCCAATGCTAATACAACTGCATACCAAATATCATTGACCTACGGCTAGTGGTTACCCATAAACTGACCTAATCACAAACTAATACATGTAAACTAAGCAAAAGTTTCAAAGTCAATAGACCATGACTGAGGGGCAGGGCCAAATAATCTCCATGGAAATGATATGTGCCAATTCTAATTCAACTGCATACTAAATATCATTGACCTTCCACTAGTGGTTCCCTATTAACTGACCTAATTACAAATTGCCTGATTTATCCGTATGTTAGAATGCTTGCAAGATTGAACTACTTAACCAGCTAAGAAATCATGTTGTCCTACATGCAACATGGATTGATGTACTGCATAGAAGATTTCATACTGCAGCCTCATAAACAGTACAGGAAGACATGATATTTGTGCAATGCCAGTTTGAACTTTCTGAGTTGTCACTTTTGATAAGTCAAATATATTTGGTTTACAGTTATTAGATTTTTCTCATCTCATTTCTATGAAGATAATTAGGGCCATTATTGTTTACGATTATTTAAAAATAACCATTGAAGTTGTAATATATACATTTATTGTATTATGTTTCCATAATTCTAATTTTCTATTTTCAATACATACAATAAACACTAGAATATCAAAAGCATATTCTTCATCAAGGTTTTGCCAATATTGTTTCATGACAATCTAATGTTACTGTTATCATGGTTATCGTGTCATCAAGTTCAATTAAAACACTCTTCCTTTCATATTAAATGTCAAACACAATGTTTTGTTTTTTAAAGCTACACAAAACCATGGATAGCACAAGCTTACATCATTTAAATGGTTACTAATCACTGGTAAAAATTCATAAATCTTCATTGTGTTTATCTAGATACAAATCAATGTCTTTCATGTCTGCATTCTGAATATCTTGAACAGCCTGTAAACAGAAATATAAAGAGTTTTGTCTGCCTGGATAAATCTAAAACATCATGTATCAATACATATAGGAGAGCATAACATTATAATCAGGGCAAAAAATACACCAGCAACAAAGATAAACTAGAGGTACTTGTGACCAAAGATCACATAATGAGACCCCTGCCCGTTGCAAATTCCATTCTTTGATAAGGGAAACAAAATGAATTTTGGCATGTTTTGGTGAAGATTCTGAGGAATTTTACTAAAATTCTGACTAGGCGTTTTGGAGGAGATTGACAAAAAGTATTTTAAGGAAATTTTGAATAAAATTGTAATTAGGGGTTAAGGAGGAGTTGCAGGTATAACCCCCAATTGCAAAGATGTACTATAGTGTAGATAGGTCTAATGTCATTGTCATCTCAATGATAAATCCCAAAATTATTTAAAAATTTAAAAAATGAAATTGGTGCAAAAGTACATTATGTGATTAAAATATAGTGTAAGTTTCACATAAAGCAGTTCAGAAGCAGTTGTGATTCAAAAGTGGGACAGACAGACCGACTCCCCTATCACTATATACCGCTGCTTTAGCAAGATATTAGTCTGTTGTGATTTGAAATTTTGAGTTTAAACTGACTGAACTTTAAGGGACTGATACCTATATGTATAAACATGGAAGACCTCAGTTGGCAAAGTATTACTTGGGTGTAAAAAGTTTGAAAACCCAGCTCTTACTGTGTTGGGTAATACAGGGCAATTTTATTTTTAAAACTTATTTTTATACAGGATTTGCATAAAAACATATACTGTAGTTTATATTTTTATTTCTAAACATATACATAATTTTAGTCTTAGATATATGATTTTTTTTATTAGTTGTTATTGGCTTTGAACTAGCTGTCAGTAACTGCGAGTACTCTCAGATTTGTACTTAGTGTCTTTTTGTTGTGGGGATGTATAAGTACCCATCCACGTCCACTTTGTGTTTTTGTTAGATGTATTTCTATTTGTATCCATCTGATGAGTTAAGCCTTTTTCAGCTGATTTTTATATTTTGTTCTAATGTTGTACTGTTACACCACTTTCCCAGGTTAGGGGAGGGTTGAGCGCTCACAAACATGTTTAACCCCGCCACATTCTTTATATGCCTGTCCCAAGTCAGGAGCCTGTAGTTCAGTGGTTGTCAGTGGTTCATGTCTGTCACATTTGTTTTTCGTAAATTGTTTTGTTATAAATTAGGCCGTTAGTTTTCTCAATTGAATTGTTTTATATTTTTCATGTCAGGGCCTTTTATAGCTGACCACACGGTATGGGTTTTTCTCATTGTTGAAGGCCGTACGGTTGCTTATAACTGCTTACATCCACTCCATTTGATCTTTGGTGGATAGTTGTCTCATCGGCAATCATACCACATCTCCTTATTTTTATATAACACAAACAAGTTGTTTGTAGTGGTTTAAAATATAAACAGACAAGACATTTCAATAAAAGATATGACAATATGACCAATTCAGACAGAATGGCAATCTAATAAATTCTAAAAGAATTATGAGAGAACTGTTCATATTTGTCCATGTATACATGTTGGTATATTATCATTTAAGAGACTAGCTGGTAAATGTTGTCTAATAGGAACGATTTTTATAACAGTATGGTTTTGGTTGGTTCAAAAATTGATCTTACGACTGCAGAAACCAATGTCAATAAAGTATTCCTACGTTAAAGAGATAAAGGATAAAATTTTACGGTCAGTCATTGAAAATCATTCTAGCTGAAGAAATTGAACACAAGAAATCTTTATGAAAATACTAAATTGTTCAATGATTTATGAGTATTTTTTCTCGAAACGACTTTTTGTGAAAAGAGTCACAGTCTTAAAAAGACTTTTAAACATAAAACTTGTGTGTGGGTTTTATTCCCTCCAGTATCACCATGATCATGATGTTCTGTACTATGTAATTTTATCTTTCCATTAGTGCTGACAATTGTGAAGTTCTTTATAGCGATTTTCAAACAATAAAAGCATAAACAAATAATTTGTTCTAATGACGTTTACAATTACTGACTGTACTTGTCAGACAATAATCATTATAAATAAAAGGAGATGTCGGTTTACTAATTGTATTTCAATTGTAAAAGTAACAAATTATAAAACAGACCAGAATCACATATAGAAATGGCTAAAAGACAAGATGAAAAGAAAATTTACATTAACACCATAAATAAACATGTAGAATAATGTTTTTGAAAGATTCTAAAACTCAACTTCAAGGGAGAACTATGAGACTATGAACATAGTATATTTGTATAAATCATAGAATTGTTTACTGTCAATTTATTTCCATGTAATAATGGCACAATATACAATATATATTTGTATAAATAAAACAACTGTTTACAGTTCTATTGTTATCCCTATTTGCATGGCACAATGAACAATATATAATTGTAAACATGTATCTTTGAGTTTTGGGATCTTCCTTAACCTTAGCCTATATGGTTGTTTTAGTGTTTATACAATTTTAAAAAGACTAGTCATGAACACTCTACTGAACAAACTGTAAATAAAAATTGTGGGGAACACACATGAGATTAAACTTTACAGACAGTGTAGACATGCTAGAAGACAATAAGATATCCAATAAAATAAAAACATCATTTTACTGCATGACCTTCACATAACCCTGAAATTGTGAATTTCAAACTCTTTCTATTCATTCAACAGGCACGACCCCCCTTTTTCTAAATATTTTATTTTGTGTTGTCTCACATGTCTTATACTGTGCTTTATTCTAACCTTTGACCATTTATCTGATATTTTATCTATTTTCTGTTTTGTTTTTATCAACTTTTTCTGTTTCTTCTCATGTGCATCTTTTAACATTTTGTTCACCGATTCCAGTTCTGTGACCATCTTCTCCAGTTTCATTTTATGTTTAAGTTTAACAGGCATAGTATGGGCAACACTATCCTTAACTGGATCACCTGTAGGTCTCCTACAAAACATATATAGTGATAACTGATTAAACAAGACCAACACTATGTCTGGACGCTCGTTGCAGGGTTCTGTTTGAAGAACAGCCTTCAATGCCATAGAGATTGGAGAATCAAAATGCGTTAAAATGGTAGTAAACAAAATTCTAAGACCGAAGAATGATTATTTGCTATATAGCACTGAAGCCAAATATAACTACATATGTCCTGATTAATATATACATTGTACATGTATTAATGAGGTGTTTTTTGCAAAATAAGTTACATACATCTTTTAAAATTAAGAATGGAAATGGGGAAAATGTCAAAGAGACAACAACCCGACCAAAGAGCAGACAACAGCCGAATGCCACCAATGGGTCTTCAATGCAGCGAGAAAATCCGGCACCCGGAGGTGGACATCAGCTGGCCCCTAACTAAAATTGTGTGCTAGTTCAGTGAAAATGGACGTCACACTAAACTCCAAAACATATAAATGAACTAAAATTAAAAAACATACATCTCTTTGAGACAACCAAACATATATATCTGACAGCTAGGTAACACCATTTTTAAATCCTCAACACCCTTTGTAAGCAACCCCTTTTATTTCATAAAGCATAGGATCTAAAATTCCATTTACAAGTTCAGGTTAGGAATTTTCATAAGGAATCTAAAGAAAACTTCACAGCCATCTCAAACTTCAAATAAAAATTGATTGCTTTTGGTTGATGCTTCTTTTGACTTTCCTTTACCTCAGAATGGGTACAGGTAATCAAAAAGAGAAATTTATTTGTAAATGGTACATAATAAGAAAATTAAATAAGGAAAAATATGTGTTGTTTATTGAAATAAGTGAAAACAATTATGTTGGCCCCTCTTGGACTTGAAACAATCTCCATCTGTAATCCCTACTAAACTCCAGTTGAAAGGATATGGTCCTAAAATTCCATTACAACTGGTTGATAAGAACAAAGGGCATCAGATGGAAACCATTGTCCTTAAGACATTATAAATTACAACACTACAACAATATTAAACATCACAAACATTTTGGGATTGTATGTAACAAAACTGTGCAAAATTACCATTTTTCAATTATGTAAGACATTTAGGATGCTGATACATGTATTACATTGCAAATGAAATCTTTATACTGAAGCATAAAGCAATCATGTTATGAAATCTGCACCAACCAAAATGCATGCATATATATCTCAGAAAAAAGCTTAAATGATTTAGTATTACATAGTACCAATCTAACATTTGTCATCATATTACTCTACTATATTGAAAACTGACAGTTAGTTTGGTCTCTTTGGCAATCATACCACATCTCTTTATTTTTATATTGACAAATTAAATGTGACAAGGAAAAGGAACAAAACTTTATTTTTATTCATTGTTTATTTCTAACATTTTTTGGAAATCACATGTACAAATTAAGGAGAATTTGACAGCAAACCAGGTTTCCTGTATTTTGGTTACATGTATATGTAATCATTGTTAAACTTAAGAGGGCAGCTATAGCTAGAACTAATGAAATTGATGTATTATAATGTATGGTGCTTTCAGGCTTGCTTGACCTGCCACATTCTGTGCCTATTTTCCAATCTATCAAGGATCATATTTCCTAAACCGAAAAAGTGAAAATAGTCAATATCAACCTTGACTTCCATTTTGTTTTCAGTAACAACATAGTAAAATTTGAAAAGCATTAGCTGAACAGTTCATAAGTTGTTGCACGGAAATATTCCCAAATAACACAAAGTGCCATTTTCAAATCTATCAAGGACCATAACTCCTGAATGGTAAAAGTGAAAATAGTTGGTATTAAACTTGACCTCCATTTTGTCATCTGTAACAACATACTGGTAATTAAATTTGAAAAGCATTGGTTGAACGGTTCCTAAGCAATTGCAAGGAAACTGTTGGCACCCACCAACCTGCTGGGCTACACACTTTCATTAAATGAAACAGAGTTCCAATGTTCCACGTGTTGCGTACATTTTATCTGTCCAAGGGCAATAACTAAAAAAACCTTTTTTGTTTGTTCTTTTAAAACTTTTTATAAACATCTTAGAGAAATGAAGGCTTGAGAGCAAATGCAATGCAATTTCTGATACAATTAATATTTCCAAGGGCATAACTCTTTAAATAAACTGCTTCGCCAAGTGCAGCTGGATACGACCGCAGAGGTCCAACCCTGAACAGTTGGGGCAAAAATGGACACAATATTCAAGCTTGATACAGGTCTTAATTTGGATTGTAATTAAATATTTGACACATTATAGGTTTCTGACACAGAATAAATGTAGTCAAAGAACTTAAAATTGGTTATATGATTTGAATTTATATTCAATTGAAGATTTCTTGCTTTTGTGCAACACTGTGCTGTTGCGCTATACTTAGTAAATCTGTTTTCAGACTATATACAAAGAATTAGCAATTGTGACCCCCAATTTTTCTTTGGAAAATTGACAATTTCTTAAATCTTGAAGAAAAATATTGACACCCCCCCAATAATTTTTTTTTACCCCCCCCCCCCCCCCCCCCCCCCAAAAAAAAAAAACATTTGAAGAAAATTTTTCTTTTTGTAAAATGTGGTACATTTTAAGAGACATCAATACACCTAAACACAAGTTATTGTCTGAAAACTAGAAAAATGCTTGTTTTAGACCCTTTTTGGCCCCTAATTCCTGAACGGTTTGGACAATTACCCCCAAAATGAATGCTAACCTTCGACTTGTGGTATTGAACCTTGTGGTACAATTTCAGAGCAATTAATTTTCTAATACACAAGTTATTGTCCTGAAACTAGAAAAATGCTTGTTTTGGGCCTCTTTTTGCCCCTAATTCCTAAACGGTTGGGACCATCACCCCAAAAACAATCCCAACCATTCTTTAGTGGTACTGAACCTTTTGGTAAAATTTCATAGAGATCCATACACTTAAACTTAAGTTATTGTCTGAAAACCAAATGTCTTAGGACGCCGATGATGACGACGACAACATGATAGCAATATATGACCCCAAAATTTTTTGCAGTCGTATAAAAATCATTAATTGGCTCTAATTTTCGAAATTTTCCCAGACAGTGCTGATATAAACCTTTGATATAAATTTCATAAATTCTAGCAAAAATTGTACATGTGAGAGCTTTTACAAAGCAATTTTCCATATAATTAATTTTTCCAAGCGGCATAACTCTTTTAAAAATAATTGATCGGCAATGAATTTCAAACTTGTCCGAGACATTGCTTATATAAACCTATGATATAAGTTTCATCAAAATCTGGCAAGAACTGTACTCAAGGCAGCGCTAATAAAGAATATTCCATATAATTAATTTTTCCAAGGGGCATAACTCTTTTAAAACTAGTTGATCAGCACTTGATTTTTAAACCTGTCTGAGACATTGCTGTTATAAACCTATAGAATAAGTTTTATAAAAATCTGGCAAGAATTGTACACATGAGAGCGCTAACAATGTAATTTTCCATATAATTAATGTTTCCAAGGGCATAACTCTTTTAAAAATAATTGATCGCCATTGAATTTCAAACTTGTCTGAGACATTGCTGATATAAACCTATGATATAAGTTTCATATAAATCTGACAAGAATAGTACTCAAGGGAACACTAACAAAGCAATTTACATATATTTATTTCTAAGGGGCATAACTCTTTTAAAAATAATCGATTGACACTGATTTATAAACCTATGATATAAGTTTTATGAAAATCTGGCAAGAATTATACATGTTGGAGCTCTAACAAGACTGGACAGACGGATGCCTGGTATTTCAAAGTCCCCAGCAACGTGTCATGTGCGGGAAAATAACCTGATAGAAAATTTAAACTAGTAAGATTAAGATTACTGATTGTATCGAAAATTTATAGAAAAAAAACTGAGAGAGACTTTGGATTCACCTGTACAAAACTTCTTTCACTGAAATTGCATTTATTGTGCCATAAAGTAAATATAATTGGTAAGACATAAGAGTTCAGTATCCTTGAAATAATCTCTTTTTCATTCAAAAACAAATTCATACTCATAACCCGTTTTTAAATATAGGTAAATAGTACTGATGCAGATATTTAAATAGTAAGCCTTCTCATATTCTATTAAACAGTGCTGTAAATATCTAGTTCAACTATTAAAGAAAGGAAATCATTAACAAATCAAATTGAAAAATGATATGTAAAAATAAATTGAAATACAATTCCTTATGTTTAAATTGTGCATTACAATTTTCGTTACTTTAACAAAGATAAATAACCAGTAAAACAATTACCATATCATAATCAATTATAGTTTTATATTTCAAAGCTATCCTTAAAAAGTAAGCTCATCTTAGATGTACTTTTTCTTGTTACAGTCTTACAGAATTATTTCTGATATTTTACAAAATAACCAATGGTTCTGCCACAGATGTTAAGAACAAAAATGAATTTATAATCATCTTTATATAAAAAATTTCCAACAACCTGACATTGCAAGATAAAAATAAGAAGAAGAAAAAGAAAAAGAAGAAGGAAGGAGAAATAAGATGAAGAGGAAAAATAGAAGAAACACTAAGTCTCCAAAACGTCACTGGGACCTGGGAGATTTAATAAGTTGTGTGCAACAGCACATTTTATGGTGCTGCATAATTATGTAATATAATTGACACCAATTTTTTTCCAAACAAAATTTTATTCCTTTATAAGGAATTCATCATGTTCATTATACATATATATATCATATATATAATGATATCATTCCTATAATTCAGACCAAATTGCATCAAAAAATTATTAACCGGATAATCTGATCACAGAGAATAAGGTCTAGTCCATATGACATGTCTGATGGACATATACAGCTTTCAAAGAATGCACATATCAAATGTTGGTAACTAGCTGTGGAGTTGCATTAATTTGAACATTCTATATTATTTTCAAAAATATAAATCAGACAAAAGTTAAACAACTTGTGGTAGTAAGCATGGTATGGTCTACTCCAACTTCTACTGTTACGATAGGCAACCTTTTTCATGAAAGCTTAACCTCACAACTACAACACAAAAATGAGGTAAAGGCCTAAAATAATGACAGTATCAGATGGACATTAACAAATAAATACACAAGCCTAATATTGTTTACCTATATCATATTACCAATGTACAAACTTTACATGACCAAAGCAATATGTGCATAAGAACACAAATCTTGAGCACTTGTTACATCAAAAAGTTCTTTTGTAGTATCTTACCATGCTGAAGAATTGATGTCTCCATAAGCTTTATCAATCAATTTATCTAACTCATTCATTAATATTGGGATCTTTTCTTCATCAAAAATCTGCTTGACCTCCTCCTGTGACAATAGAATAAATTCATATTAAATCCTATTTTACTGAATTTGTCTGTTTACCATACAATTATCTTTCTCCTATAAATATAACATATGCAAGTTAATGATTACATTTTCACATAACTAGAAAACAGACATGTCAGCAAGGACCCTGCTTCCACATTTGTATGTGATGCAAAGAGACTGATGCATACATAGCAAATAAAATTGAGAATGGAAATGGGGAATGTGTCAAAGAGACAACCAGACCAAAGAGCAGAAAACAGCTCAAGGCCACCAATGGGTCTTCAACACAGCGATAAAATCCCGCACCAGGAGGCGGACATCAGCTGGCCCTAAACAAAAATGTGTACTAGTTCAGTGAAAATGGACGTCACACTAAACTCCAAAACATATAAATGAACTAAAATTAAAAAACATACAAGACTAACAAAGGCCAGAGGCTCCTGACTTGGGACAGGCGCAAAAATGCGGCAGGGTTAAACATGTTTTGTGATATCTCAACCCTCCCCCTATACTTCTAGCCAATGTAGAATAAACAAACACACAGCAAATGTTCATATACATGTATTGTCAATTTTCATAAATTTTTACACCAGCAATTAATTCAGGGTGTGTTCTTGATTAATATGTGTATACATGTATATATTTTTTTAAATCCAAGCAATATATTTTTTGGTGGGCAATAATTTTGAAACAGAGAATCATTTCATAATTTAAAAAAAAACAAAAAACACTTTTTTCATTTACGTAAATCCTAGCAAAAAACATGATTCTCAGAATTAATCATTTTTTAACAGAAAGTAAGCTTTTAACACAGTTTTGACATGAAACAATTTGGAATGCATATTGTGCCAGTATTATATATATCAATTTTTGATGACATCCTACCACAAGAAGATGCTTCTCAAAATTTGTGATATTTTAACAAAAAAGTAAGTTTCTACCCTTTTTTTGATTTGTCAATTACTTTGAACATTTGTTGAAATAACTAAATACACCTATATATCAGTTTTTGTTTAAACCCTACTATAAGAAGACATTTCTCAAAATTTGTGCGGTTTTTTTTTTATAACAAAAAATTAATGAGCCGAATTTCATCAAAATATAATATGCACAACAACTGTGCAAAACTTCATTGGCCTCCTTCCTATACTTTTGGAGTTTTTGCAATTAACCAACATTTTAGACGGAGACAGACAGACATACACAGTGAAAACTATAGTGCTCCAGCAACCTTTATGCCGGGCCCTAAAAAAAATTACAAACATGGAAAAGCATACAAAGCCTCCGGAAAAACAACAGATGTGTAAATTTAAAGCTATATAATAGAGCTTTAGAACTGTTACTGTGAGTGTTACAGTAGAACCTGGATACCATTCATATGTTTTGATTAATATTTACTTGCTGTATACTGTGTTGTTACCCACTCATTGCTATAAAAGCCTTATGGTGACCCTCAAATTTGTTCTTGGTTTTATTGCTCCCTCAATGATGTTTATAAGCTATTTATTTATTATCAAAGTACTCATACAGAAGGAGTGAAAGAAATAACTATATTTTACTTATAGATATATATACATTTGCATTTCGATTCAATTTTATTTCTTTATTTTTGTGGGGCTACATGTATTTATAGTAAGTGCCAACACCTATGATTTGCTAAAAAATCATTACCAGTTATGTTGTAAGGTGGAAAACAATTTAGCAATATTTTCGCATTGTTTCAAAACATTGCTTATTTGCTATTCACACACACACACATGAATGGGAAAAGCTTATAGTGACAAAAATCTTTTTATTGGTAACAATGACCTTGACCTTAATCATGGTCGGTGACCTCAAAATCAATAAGAATTTTCTTCCTCTCTTTATATTTGACAACATATCCCAGTAAGGTTGCTGTCCCATATGCCATGTATGTACCGGGTAGTACGTAAATACATTTGATTTAGTATACTGAAACCGATTTTCTGCACAACTTGCAGTCTATTTTTAGTAACTTTGACCTTGATCTTATACATAGTGACCTCAAAATTGATAGGGTCTTCATCATATGTGACCACATACATGTTTATACATGTAATCCCCCCAATAAAATAGCACATGACACACTATGATATTTGGTAAACATTCTAAGGTCATGATGAATGTACCATTTTTTGAAAACATTTTTTTTTAATCATATATATATATGTCCTTTAATACTTTTAACATAGAAGTATCAAAATCATAGCTGCTTTGGGCCATTTTCAAAATGTTCTGATAAATATTTACTTTTCAAAATGAATAAACAACCTCATAGCTGCTGAGGCTAATAAACTTATTGTACCAACTATATAAAATTACATTTATTATATCAGTGCACATAGTGCAGCCACTGGCAAAACAAAGTAAATTGTTACTATGGTTTGTATAAATTTTGTAAGAATAGTTCATTTCTTCTAATTAGCATGATTATACACTGTATATACTGCTCAATAAAGCTGAAGTTCTAAGGTGTTCTTCGTTTATATTGCATAATATTACCCAAGGTTTTTAATACTGAATCTTTCATGTTTTCAATTGCTCATACTTTAGTGCACATGTACTTGTATTTTAACATGCTGAAATGAATATGGCTGGCACTTTTATTTCCAGCAATGTCTCCTAATCTGTCTAATTGAATGCCAGCCAAAAGTGAAAGGATGAGGCAAAAAAGGGGTCTACATGGGTTGTTTGTGAATAGAAGTTACAGATTCCTGTAGTAAAATGAACAAGAGACTCCTAAGAGCCTGATTCGCTCATCTGGATTTAAATGTGTAAATCTTGCATCAAGATTATTTTGCTGTTTAATGTATATTAATGCATGTTTTAACATGCCCTTAAAATATTCTCTTTATCTATCATTGTTTCTGCTAAAAACTTTAAAATTCAATAGAAAGTCTTTAAAGGGCAATAACTCCTATAAGGGATCAATTGAAGAATTCAGTTCTTATACTAATTGGTAGATCTCACTCTGGTTAACATTTTTGCTGTTTAACATTTCTCTTTTTTTGCCGTTTAAAATTTCTCTTTATCTATACTATTTTTCAAGATAACAAACCAAAAACTACAAATTAGGTTGTCTGCTTTGTTTGTAAATTTCTAACTATAAATAATAAAAAACCATTTAGGTTAGTAAGTTATAAAATATAAATTCATTGTACTTCAATGTTTTTAATTGGTTGATAAAGAGTTTGTTTAGATTGTGAATGTAACAAAGCATTGCTTTCAATTTTTTTATAGCTTCTATGAAGCATGATAAGTATTTTAATAAAAAGTTTGCTTAAACAGGAAGTTCTATATTTACTTTCAAAGTAGAAGTACATTGTAAATAAATATTAAAACTTGCAATTTACTCAATTAAGTAAAAATAATCTTCTTATAAAAGTGGGACCCCAAAAGTGAATGTAGAACTGTGTTTCAGTTTCACTGAAATGCACTTTGTTCTCCAATGAGTTACATACTTATCTTATAAATGTATACTTAGGCCAAAAAAATAATTAAAATTGCTTGATTTTGCCTGCCTACCCAAAAACTTTTATGTCACAAATAATTTCAATTTTTTTATTTAAATTTTTTTTTTGTGCTCTAACCTTGTTTTCTTGTTGAAAACATGTAACTTATGTTGTTGGCTAAGAAAAAATAAAACCCCTATCTACCTACCCAACCCTACAAGGCATGGGTAGGCAACATCTAACAAGGAATTTGTTAAGGTTGGGCTCAAGTTTCTGTTAATGTTATGAGAGTCCAAAATTTTTGGTCCCGGCAAAACAATGCAGAAATGTTTTTGTGGCACTATTGCTAGAAGACCTTAAAAATTGAGACAGGAACTAACTCAAGTTTGATTCATTTCAAGTACAAAAAAGTATGGCATGTGCCATCAACATAAAAAAAAAACTTTCACTGTTACAGGATCTTTTCAGTTGGACATCTCCAGTCAAGAGATTTGACTCAATATATCTAAAATGTTCATGCATTTTTGTGCTAAGCAGATCCTCAATAAACTTTCAAAGTATACAAAATCAAATATTAGTTCTCTGACAGATACAAAAAGTGCTCACATGTTACAACTTATCATTGTCAAGTAGCTGACCAAATATAAAGTCATTCTGCTTTGCAGTTCCCGAGAAAGATATGACGAATATATTTCTTGGAAGTTGGAAGATTGTAATATAGCCCCAATCCTAGAGTGGGGCTACACATGTACATGTATATCATAAAAAAAAAAAAAACTTATTCAAGTCATTATCTAACATTAATTATCAACTCACATTAAAATTTGATTCAACTTGTCGTGTTAACTCTAAGTACATAGTTCTGAATGCATCGGGATTCTTCTTATAAATTGGATGGAAATGGTGTTGAAATCTAGCATACCTAAAAAGTACAATAAAACATGTATAGGCAGTCTTCCCCTGGATTTTGAACTCTAAACATACATGTATGTGTAAATAAATCAGTATACATGTATATTGACATCAGTCTTCATTTTTAAGCAACAAAAGTGTCAATTATTGACCAAACAGACAGTTGTCAATTTTAAGAATAAAATTTTATAAGTACTACATGTACTTAAAAAAAAATGCAATTAAAACAATATTGATGAAATTAAAGAATACAAAATTCTTAAAATAAGATAATAGACTTGATTTTCTCTGGTAAACATCAGATCTAGATGTACCAAGGTTTGTATAGTATTTAGTAAGAAAGACTTTTTAATGTATTTCCTTGGATATTATATACATGCTAAATTCTTTTGAAAATAAAATAGAATCCTGACACAATAAACTTTGATAGTGAAATTATAGAAAAAAATTATGATAAACTATGAAATTATTTCTTTTCCAAAGGACCTCAACATAATTCATTGCCTTTGAGTGGCATTGTGCTCTCCAGTTATTTGCTATTTATCTGCAAACAAGGGGTAGTCTAACATGAATAGACACCAATTTATTACTTATAATTAGGCATCCAGACAAAGAGGGGATTTACTCCGATTTAGTATGCATAAGTCATAAAGAATTTATTTTAGTCTGTATCAACATTATTCATTTAATATCTGAACAGGTACAAATGTATCAATGGACTCAATCGATTGTTCTTCCATACATAAACATGATTTAAAATAAATACATGAAATATATATATATATATAAACATGTAAAATTTATTTATAACTTTCATTAAAAACTGTTCTTAAGAATGTAATCTGTTTTAAATTTCCTGCACACTGGATAAAATATTATACAATAAAAGTTCCAGTCTGAACTTTTGTTATAGAATAACAATTGGATAAACTATTATGTTGAAACTTTAGAGATACAATACATAGGAATATCAAAATTTCAAACAGTTTGAGGGCTGAATTGCAACTATTCAAACAAGATTTCAAAATTTACAAAATATTTAGGTATCCCTTTTTTTTAAAATAGGGAATATTAATTATACATGTACATTGATGTAACAGAATTTCCAAGAATAATAATTATCAATGATTATGTAAGAGAATTTCTTGAATAATCATTATTTAATGTAAATAATTCCTGGCCAATTATTAATAAATAAACCTTCATGGACAGGTATTTACTATTTAAAATACACGCGGGTGTAGAAAATCACATGAAATCCATGTATCTTTTAATATGATCATTAAAAATTAGTCTATTGTATAATTTCCAGTCATCCTAGGAACAGATTTTATGGGGCTTTATGTTCCAGGAAATTGTTTTATGAAGAAGGAATAAATATTATATCATTTTAGTTCTCAAGAACTTTTGATATTTATACCATTGTGTTCCATCTGGAACATATATTATGCGGAACAAATATACAGTTACAAGATGCTGTCAGACATAATGTCAACCATATTGTCAAAAATCGGTCATACACCTATCTTGAGTTGTTTTTTTTATGAATGAGTTACACCAGTTAATCTGAGGTCAATCAGCGTAAACGACATCATCGGAAAAAACAGTTCTTTCTGTGACATAACAACATAAGCATTGTGACATATATATATATATAGGAAATTTACAGGAAAGTGCACAAACTCGAAAGTGTCTTCTTCACAACTTACTGAACCTAGCTAGAAAAAGATGAAACATAAAACCAATATAGTTAAACATATATTTATACTCCAAAAATGTGTTTTAAGCACCAAGACAGTACCAGACTCTGAAGCCGCCATGACTAGAGATTGGAAAGTCCTGGGTGAAATGTTCTGTGGTTTTATGCATTATAAAACCACTTTTACAGTTAATAATTGACTTACAAACATGATAAAGATTCACTTTAATCACTTATAATAAAATAACATATAATAAACAATATTTTTATTATCATTAACAGAGATAAACCAATTTTTAGGCCACCAGACTTCTACAGACTGACCAGATCAGTGTTCTCCCCAGAAATTTTTTAAGGCGCAAAATTTCAAGGATGTGTAACTCTATTTCAGAGTGAACTATTGTGACCTGAAGCAATCGGTCATAAATCATTATAAGCAATAATGCACAGTATTAATATACAGGATAAAGAATAAGAATATATATATATGAAATAAATTCATTTTAAACACAAAAAGCATTTATATCACAGTCAATTAAATAAGTCAAAATGTATATATAGTTCAAGAAAAATCCTCATGTTCTTCTGGGCCTTCCATTTCTGAACAGCTTCAGAAATATTTATTTCTTTACTCTCTGTTCCTTCTATAGAGATATAGTAAGAAGACAGTTTGTAATTTTGTTGGGCAGCCTATTCCTCAGTTTTTATCCTCTTTAGGTTTAAAAACATCATCTGTCTTTCGCTTAACCCATTTTTTCTTTGCAAAGAACATGTTGATTCAGCAATAAAATTGATTATGTTTAAGATGTTTGGAATACAACTTTTTAAAACAAAAAAATTGTAATGAACCAGCTGACTAGTGTCCGTAGTTTGACATTACGCTTCTGTGTGTATAATTGTCAAAACGTTTCTTTGGCAGGTAGATATAACTAAAACATGACAAATTCGTCAAAGTTAAAACCAGTTAAATTCTTTACTAGTGACATTATACAAATGCTGCAGCGATTCCGTACATATATTTCCTGATGGACGAATTAATGATCGATGTTAAAAAATTATTTTATTTCTAAAACGTGACAGTTGACAGGCGAATTTTACTTGCAAGCAACAATTTTTCACCTTCTAATAGAATAAATCACTCCTCATTATCTTTAATAAAAGTTTATTTTACTTTTTTGACTTACAAATACTCTCATTCATAAATTTCATCGTAATTTTCTTTAGTAATGTGTATTCAAATTTATCACTTGTATTCATCATGTTCATTGGTCGTGTTTAAATAGATTCTTCTTCTCGACTAATGAAAAATTTGTTACTTAAATGGCCAAGTATCGCACACAGACGATGCGTAAATACAATGTATTTGCAATCTATTTCTTCAATTTTTCCACTGAAGTTTTTAAAAAGTTTTATTTTCTACTAAAAATATCTATCTTCTTGATGATCATTTACGCTATAACATGATTACATTGTCTGATAAGGCTGGAACAGGTAAATCAGAGACTTTTGCTAGTTATCAGTTATTGCGCAACATCGACCGACCTCTCAGCGGTAATCAGCAACTTGACAATTTTAACCAACATTTATAATTAAAATGTGAAAATTAACATGCTGCAGGATCAAGTATTAAGGGACAGCGGCCAATTAAGGCGCTGCGGGATCAACGAAAATATTTTGAAGGCGCTGCGGGACCGCAACGTCATATCGGCCTGGGGAGAACACTGCAGATCTAATACAGGATCTTTCAATTGGTGCATGAAAAAATTTAGTCACAAAGCAAATATCTGCACATCAAGGCCTTCTTCACTTGTGAAACTCGTTTTATCCCATAAATAGCAAAAGGTGAACATTACCCTAACTCTAGCCCTATCATTTAAACCCAACCATTACGGTGCAGTCCAGTGTACATTGTATCTGCAAACCTAAGACTTTTGGCTTCACTATGGTAAATTCATAAAACCAATAATCTGATAATATTGTGAGAACAAATTCATGACATACATTAATTTCATGAAATCTTTTTAATGTATGATTTCAATCTCAAGATTTTGAGTTGTACATGTGCTTGTCCAAAATTAGAGAAATCCCTGTCCTGACAGTTCTTCATATGTCCATTGGTGTGACGAATATATTTCTATAAATTTCAGGACAGATCTTAACCATGTTAACCTGCTGAACATTTTTACTCATTATCAGATTTGCTCTAAATGCTTTAGTTTCAGAGATGTAAGCCAAAAACTGCATTTTACCCCTATGTTCTATTTTTAGCCATGGCGGCAATGTTGGTTGGCAGGCGGGGTCATCAGACACATTTTTTAAAATAGATACCCTAATGATGATTGTGGCCAAGTTTGGTTGAATTTGTCTATGTAGTTTCAGAGGAGAAGATTTTTGTACAAGATTACAAAAATTTACGAAAAATTGACTATAAAGGGCAATAACTCCTTAATGGGTCATTGGACACATTTTTTAAAATACATGTATATATCCTTATGATGATTGTGGCCAAGTTTGGTTGAATTTGTCTATGTAGTTTCAGATGAGAAGATTTTTGTAAAAGATTACAAAAACAAAAATTTACGAAAAATAGACTTTAAAGAGCAGTAACTCCTTAAGGGGTCAATTGACAATTTTGGTCGTGTTGACTTATTTGTAGATCTTATTTTGCTGAACATTATTGCTGTTTACAGTTTATCTCTATCTATAATAATATTCAAGATAATAACCAAAAACTGCAAAATTTCCTTAAAATTACCAATTCAGGGGCAGCAACCCAAAAACGGCAGATAGATCTTGACCTGATGAACATTTTATGCTTAAACATATCAATTTTAATCTTTCCTGTCCCTTTCGGAAGAGTAAAACAATTACAAAAAACAATTTCATTTATGTTACATCAATTGCGGATATGACGAAATCAGGTAATGCGTGATATCACTGGCCGCACGGACATGGGGATTCTCTGTACCTAGAGCAAACCCAAACTCTTCATTACAAGGACCCGCGCCGTAAAGTAAAAGAAGGTAGTCCAGATAATTAAAATTATCATGCAGTCTGCTGAGGCCGTGAGGGTATTTTTCTAATTTTTTTTTTGTATCCCTCTGACATTGATGACATCAAAGCAAAATTTAGTCTCACTATACAAATCCTTGGTCAAAGCAAAAAAATTAAAAAGCCTTCCAGGACGTCATAATTATTTGGACTAAAAAGAATGATAAGAAGGAAGAACTCTTTCCCCAAAAATCGAACAGCTGAAATCAGAAATGCTTAATTACATTGAATCAGACCCGATTCCTATCTTCTTGACTGCAACTGATAGTGCATATCGTAAAATTTCCAAATGTTTTCCATCAGATTCCTCTGGTAAAGTAACAGAATCTGGCAATCCAGACTCATTTGACATAATTATTAAGTTTACAAATCCCGCTTTGGTAATCTGGTGCTACGACTTGGCTTGGAACGGGAGGAATTACACCCGGTAACAGAAAACCAGTCAGAATAATAACGTTATGGATGTTGATAAATTATGTCTGTACGGTCCCGATACTCAATACTATCACATCGTTCATAAAGCAAACTTTATATCACGCGTGGTTCATCTGGCTTAATTCATATTTACAAACGTTGTATATCTAGAAGATCTTGACATAGGCCTTATTTTGAACAAATTCAAGGCCTGTTTAATTGTCGTTGTTGTTAATACTGGCATCAAGGACGTATATAATATGTTATTAATTATACGTCCTTGCTGGCTTAAAGCTTGTATCTCTGATTAATTGATTGATTGATTAATTAGTGTTTAACGCCACTTTCCGCACTATTGGGTTGAAGAATCCACAGTGTCCGGAGAGAACCACCGATCTTTGGTAGGAAAACTAACATTCCTCTAGTCAATTTGGAGTCGAGCGCACCTGCCACGTACGGGATTCGAACTCAACAGCTCAAAACCTGACTAATGATACAGTAGTTCGACTACTTTTTCTCTTGACTAGACCACTCAGCCACCGAAGCCCCTAGTATTGCAAGTTAACAAATTATCTGTCATCTATTAGTTAGTTTAATAGATCCATGTACCTGTTGAATTGGAACAATAGAACTTTTACATTGAATAAGTTGGGGTCTGCAGTGAGAATAGTTTTTACTGCAAAATTTTAATTATCTTTTCATGTCATCATGTGATTCACTGGTTTAGTTTTTGAATCCAAATTATTTTCAGCCTTGTCTTAGAAGATGAATGTTCCTGTATGTATTTTTAGAAGATGTAAATTAACATATAGACAATAATCTGATAATAGAGCATTGACTTGACATAACAACATAAAAGAATGAGGCTTAAAACGGGGAAAATGCGAGGCTCTGCTGAGTATTTTTCACCTTTTTGTGATGAATTCTTATATTGTTGTTATGTCAAGTCAATTTGAACTATTATTGTTTCTACTGCAATCTCTAAATGTTTTTGACTTGTTTAGTGTTATTTATTTTGTTTCTTTAAGGATTTACTTGGGTCAGGTTTGGGAATTTGTGTCAGATGTTTGGACTCCTTGGTTTTTTTCCTACGATACAGGGTAAAATATTTTACCAACTTGCTTCTTATGTTGATGATGGGCATTTTAAGAGATCATGGTCTCTGTCATGGTTTTGTTTATAAGCCTTCTTCATTTCCAAAGGAGCTCAATTCAATGTTTTCAGACTCAAAGGGATTGAGGTCACACTTCTAAGATTCTATAATTGCTGTTATTATTTTTAAATTGTGATATTCCTATCAAAACAAATTTTACTACAATGTAATATTTTAACCCTGTCACTGTATATTTAAGCAGCAATATCCCGTAAGAAAATGTCTTTTATGAGGGTATGGATGGGGTCCTTAATTTCTATATTCTTTTAATTTTTAATGAAATTTCTTTATCTTTAGAAATAACGCTTATTCTGTAAAATTCTCATGAAAATGATTTTACTATTAAATTTTTCTGTAATCAAAAGATTTCTTTATTCTGTACATAGTTCATTAGTTCATTTTTGTAATCAGTATTTTATTACCTTATTATTTTATTTTTCAAAGTTATCTTTATACTTTTGCACCCCATTTTTCTCTATTCATTAACCTTTTGACCATTAAATTCTCTATTCAGCTGCTAACCCTATCCAGGCCCTCTTTTATGCAAGGAGTGAAATTGAAATTTAGAATTTTCAACTGCACTAAAGACTAGTGTTTGATCCCCCATTTTTTTGTAATTATTTTTGTATACAGGATAACTGAAAGTCTAGAACAAAAGAAAAGTAACTCTTCTTGTGGTTAAAGTAATAAAGTCAGTTTTTTTGTTAAGTTACTATACTGAAGTAATTTTTAAACTTTTTTTTCCATTTAATAATAATCTGTTGAACTGTTATCTAAAAGTGCAAATACAAATTGTCTGTCATTATTTTTTCATTGAAACTTGTTAGATTTTTATAAGCCCGTTTACGGGACGTATTATGGTATACCGTTGTCCCTCCATCCGTCCGTCCTTCGTCAAAATGTCAGACAATAACTCAAAAATGCTTAATCCAATTTGCATGAAACTTTAGTGAATTGTTTATATTTCTATTGATGTGAGCTCCCTTTCAATTTTTATAAATTTTAGATTTTGCGTTTCCAAGTTATGGGGTTTTATTCATTGAAAAAGGGGGGATTTTTCCGTTTTTGGACAATAACTCAAAAACTCTTTTACCAATTTGCAAGAAACGTTGGTGAATTGTTTATATCTATTGACGTGAGCTCCCTTTCAGTTTTTATGAATTTTAGATATTACGTTTCCGAGTTATGAGTTTTTTTCATTAAAAAGGAGGATTTTGCAGTTTTTAGACAATAACTCAAGAATGCTTTCAGCAGTTTTCATGAAACTTTGGTGAATTGTTTATATCTATGGACATAATCTCATTTTTGTTTTTTTATAAATTTTAGATTTTAGGCTTCGGAGTTATGGGATTTTATTCATAAAAAAAGGCCTAATTTACCAGTTTTCGGACAATAACTCAAAAGTGCTTTGAGCAGTTTTCATGAAACTTTGGTGACTGGTTTATATCTATTTAAACAACCTCCTTTTAGTTTTTTATAAATTTCTGATGTGACATTGAGGAGTAATTGAACTTTATTATTTGAAAAAGCGACGGGCGTATTGTCAAAGTGTTTTGGATACTTTTTTTCTATTTGAAGGAAAATAACTCTTATTTTTTTTATATTTGTGTTAATCATTACTATAAGTTTTCTGGTGACGTTATAATCAATAGCCTCTTTGCGGAGAACTTGGTTTACATTTGATTAACTCTATTTGATCATTTTTATTACCAGTAAGTCCACAGTTTAGGATGTCAGTAAACATGATTTTACGAAAGTTATCTTTTTTGTATAACTAGTACTGTTTATCCAATATGTTTCAAATCTCCAAATATCATTCCTAGAAGTCAAAATGACATTTTGTGGTTAAAGAGGTGCAATAGACATAATTTTGACAGAGTAATGTATATGGTCAATAAAAAAAACCCATCCAAACTTCTCAAAGATCAATTTATGGGGTCTTCATCAGGACATCAAAATCATATCTAGGTATATTGAAATTTCACATTGCATGTGTTTTATGTTTTAACTAAGCTAACCAGTGGTTATATTACTATTTAACTGTTTTGTCAAATATCATACATTATTTTTCAAGAGTAATACAGGTTCTTGGAGCCTCATGTTTTATTGCTTTATTGTTCTTAGATTCAAACTTTTCCCTTTAGGGGAATGCTTTATTATCTGAACAAAATTCACTTACATAATTTGGTGAAATACCTTTCTCAGGTTAAAATATATATTTGTACACAGCCAGTTACTCAAGTGTGAAGTGAGTAGATGTGAGTGAAAAGTTTTTATTACCTGTATGATCATGTGATTAAAAGGTTAGAATTTGGCTCCAAATTAGTTTGATCTTTACTTGGACAAAGACTTGAAAAAATTTTCTTAGAATTTTTTGGGGACATGGAATGGATGTTTAAAGGTTTATGAGGAGTTTAAGGTATTATAAATTTAGTTATAATTATTTACTTGAATGTGATCTGTTTTGGATTTTAAACTTTTAATTCTGAAATTCTATATACTTTTGAAGAATCAAACGATTTCACAAATTTTTCATACATAATAAGGTTGGATGTGAAACAAAATAATGACTTTTATTACTGTTTTTTTTTCAGTTGATCTTTCAAATGTCTGCATGTCTACAAGTTTTACAAAAGTAACAGCAATTAACCTGTAACCATGTACATGTAACATGATATGGAATCACATCTAAGTACTCTCTACAACATAGTGATGAAAGGAGGTAACATTCCTGTATCTGTGCTTACATGAAGAGTAAGCAATGTGTACTGTAAGTCAGCTATCTCTAGTTACCAAAACGTATGGTAAGAACCTCATCTATAATTATACATGGTGAGTATTTTTTTGTTGGTTAAAAAATGTGCTTCAGGATACAATAATTTTATCTGAGATCCTCATTATGAAAAAGGGATGCAGGCAGCAACCCAATAAAAATAGATAACAAAAGACATCTAGAGGTCTACAACTATAGACAGATGTTTATACAATAAAGCGAAGTTGTAAATTGTTTCAAGTCTAAAAGAGTTCCGAATAAAATGAACAGAGACTAATAGAGAACTTTTGTGAAACCAAATTCTGATAGGCACATGAGCATGTAGCAGGGTTAGATAAGTTTTTATTTATATCTCAAAGCTCACCCTTAGTAATAAATCTTGAATTTATTGAAAGCATGTTTAAAGTTCTAGACCTGTTGATATGAAATCTCGTGCAATGCCTAAACCAAACTAAGAAAATGCAGAATTTTTTTTTAATGGCTTCGAACTTTAAATTAGTTAATTTATGTTCTTTAAAAAAAAAAACAGATGAAATTATTGAACATCCAATTGGTTGGCTTGCTTGCTTTGTTTGTTTGTATAAGTGTTTGTTCAAGCATTGTAATTAAGATTGACATCTGCAATCAATAGATAGGCGGGGCTTCAGCTTGTATACATTATACTTAAATGTTATTGGATGTTAAATATAATGTATACAAGCTGAAGCCCTCCCCATCTATTGATTGTAGATGTCAATCTTAATTACAATGCTTGAGCAAACATTTATACAAACAAAGCAAGCATACCAACCAAACCTTTAAACTACAAGCATTAGGAAAATTGCTCTAATACATTTTCTCTATTCTGTAGCATATGCAGACCACAAGCAAACTATAAGGACAGGAACATTGACCAGTATATTCATTATATTAGTCCCATTAGTCCTTGTTTTGAGACATACAAATCAAAACAAAAACATACAAAAAAAAACAAATTTCAATAGGAATAATGTTGAAAATTATGTCAGAAATCAACTTTTAATGTCACAAAATTGAATGACTGTTTACATTGAACAGATTGAAAA